TGTTTTTATATCAACTTGCACGTATACTTGTCATGTGCGTGAATCCTATCTTCTGTCACTTGTCACTAACTATTTTTACTGTCCTAATGGACAGCCGTGGGTACACAAATGCAGAGGGCTGTGTGCGCTGGCGTCTGCAATGCCTGTTATCTATCGCTTCTGTCGGCGGAGCTTAACAAGGACTGTACAAGACGTGACAACGAGGCTGGACTTGTACGCTTCACTATACATTGTCTTAAAGAATGAAGAAGCTTATGTTTATAAAGAAAAGTAAAAGATTTGAATGCCTCACTTTATCTTTTGTTGTTCAAGTGACTGCGAAAGCAGTGGCACACAGGGGCAAGCGCCATTGGGAAACACGTCAGGATAAATAGCGTGAAGGGATCTCAGGTTAGGGTAAGGGTTGGCCTGCTGTAGTCTGAGCGTAAGGGCCTGTGGCCTATTTAGATTTGTATGAGGGAGTAAGTATAGTCTGCTCGTGAGGTAAAAATGTTTTGTTATTTCACTATACGGGGGGGGGGAAACGCACGGGGGTAACTCGAGCAAATTCGTCTCAGAGAGGGGGAAGTGGCGTACCGCGTGAATTTTCTGTCAAGTGAAGCGAAAACAAACTTGTAGACACCCTTGACTAAATTACAAACGTGCGCACCTCCACTTATATACACACCACCCGCATTCAAGGGAAAGGAGACGGGGCACAAGACGAGCCGAGTATGCACAGTGGGGGCATGGATGGCGCGGACGCCGAAGTGCGACATCGTGCGACCAAGAAACGCTCCACATTTAAAAAGTGCACGCTTGTGCTTTATTCCGTGTTTCTATTCTCGCGCGGCCCTCAGGAACCAACCATAATTCACCCGAGGTTGTACTGTTGTCCTTGTGCATTCGTGCGAGTTGGCCCGAAGGTCAGAGCCATCTGGTGTGACTGTCTCGTCATCATCATCACCGCCATCTTTATCGTGTTGTCGGTGCTTGAGCAGTTACCTGAGGGCACATGGCAGTACAATTTGTTCATGCTGTGGCCGATGATGATGAATGATATCTCAACTGTTTCTAAGCGCTGGCAGCTTTCAACCGATCTTGCATGTTACGCCATTGTGCTGTCTGACGGCTGGCAGTGCGATTCTACGCTTGTGCCATGCCATGTTCCATTTTGTAGCATGACTTGTCCCCCGACAAAGCGTCTATATACAGTTGGTTACAACTTAAGAAGGCAGGAGAGGCCCCGTCCACATGACCGAAGCGCAGCAGCCAATTTCCTCCGCAACTAAAGAAATAGCCCCGCTCGAAAATTGTGACTGCTTCTAAAACTCGTGTTTGTCGGTATAAATGAGATTTATGTATCGTGATGAGTTCTTTGGTAAACCTTTAATGATGGAAATGGTACAGAACATGCCGGAATGCGACAGGAAAATAACTCCGTGCCTTCTACAACGCTGTGCGTCATCTGCTATGGAGCAATATCGACGGCACCGGGCGTGTAATTGTAAAGCAGTCACTGGTTTTATAGCAGAGGATTCGTATGTACCTTTTGTGTGTTTGCACAAGCATTTTTGTATTATGTCAGGCATTTTTTTTTTGTGTTGCGAACCTGCAACTTCGTGAGTTCACGCACGTTGGCGCATGGCATGCCGTGCCAAAGGTATTCAATTATACGGGTTGCAAAACTGCGTTCCAAATTTCGGCCACGCAGTTGGCCGAATTTTTCGGGAGTAAGCTGACTTTCCCGTCACCTCGGAGTGGCGGCACAAAACACAAATAATGCGTTTAATAGCAGGTGTGCAGATCAACATGTAGCGCGACCATGTGCTCACTCCCAACAATGGGGTCATAGACTTGTTTGGATTTCGACACATGGAGCGTGAGAAGAGTTTCGCAACACATATGATTGAGTAACTCTGTTCTGTGCAAGTTTTCTGCCATGGAGCCCAGTGAGGTGGCACCAGAACGTGATATTTTGTGGTCGTACGAGCCTGGTGTCGCCTCGATGACCACACTACCAAGGAACTTAAGCAAGAACAAGAGCGGCCGCATCCTGAACAGCCATTCACGCAACATAATCTTCCACTGCTATACGTACTGGCGCAACATGAAGCCTGAACGCAGTGGGGAGGACATGAGCAAGTTTATTGACGACATGCTCGATGTCGGTGAAAGGACTGTTCAGGGTGAAAAAGGAAGTTAAAGCTTCGCATTTTTCGGGTGGCAAATTGACGACGCCCTCGCGAAAGCACACGCGCGATGCGGAGGAGTGAGGAAGCAGAGCGAAGTTCGACAGCTTCGCGTTGTGTGCACTGAGGTCACATGTGCACGATTTCTTTCGTCGCAAGGAGATACCGACGCCCGAGAAGATAACTGCCGAGTTCCCGGAGCGTATGGAACTCCCCTCACTGAGGCGCTGTGCAGTGTATCGCCTGCTTGCTGATACCGGCTCAAGCATGAAAAGAGAAGCCGCAACTCGCTCCTTATCAACCGGGATGACATCACCGATTGGCTGAATCACTACCTCCATGACGTAGAGCATTACCGGGCGGAAGGCTGAAAGACGTTCTACCTGGACGAAACATGGGTCATGGCGGGACACACTCAGTCGATCGTGTGGACAGACACCATGGTGCAGAAGCGCGGACGCCTGCTCACTCGAGCAAATGGCATGACGACAGGTCTAAAGCAGCCTTCTGGGATAGGTCAGTGCCTGATCGTGACGCACATAGGCAGCGAGGATGGCTTCATCGGTGGCTGCTTGGATATATTCCGAGGCCAAAATGCAGGCGACTACCACAAAGAAATGGACGGCAATCGCTTTGAGGGATGGCTGAATGACGTTCTGCAGATGTTGCCAGCTGGTAGCGTCATGTTTTTTTTTTTGACAATGCGCCTTACCATAGCCAATGAGTAGAGTAATTGCCTGGAAGAAGGAAGATACACAGGAGTGGCTCACAAGCAAGTAAACCACCTACAGTAAAATGATAATAAAGAAGCAGCTGCTTGACCTAGTGGCATCTGTACAGTCACGCTTTCTGAGGTACATCGTAGACAATTCAGCAGTAAGGGCCGGTTGCATTTACTGAGATTCCCGTCGTACTATTCCGAATTTATTCCCATTGAGCTTGTGTGGGCCAAGGTCAAAATTGTTGTTGCTGCGGACAACAGAGACTTCAAGCTGTGCACGCTCGATGCCATCTTGTGAGATAAAATCAAGCAGGTAATGGTGGAAGACAGGAGGAAGAGCATTCAGCACGTGATGGACGTGCAGGCAATGTTTATACTTCTCACGTCTGGGAGAAAGCATGTTCAACCCATCATCATCCAGCTGGGTGAAAATGACACTGATGAAAGCGACGACCACTGTGAGCTCTCTGTCATCGAGCCACTTGATGAAACATAGCGGCTTTTAATAATGAAAAAAACAGCCCTTATACGGCTACTAAATATTTGCCCAGTTTGTTTTCAAGAGCCAACCATCCATTCCATGACCTCTCAAACAAATAAGCAGTTTAATTTATGACGTATTGCTTTCATAGAAGTTCAATTCCGATAAGAAACGTCCTTCACACATCACGCTTGATTCGAGAAGTGCCATCAAATCACATTTCATTGCGGGAATATCTGAATTGAAACACTGTTGTTAACCCTGATTATCCTTGGCGAGCTCTAAATGCTCAATCAGGCAGCCACCGTCAAGTTCGACACGCTTTATTGTTCTATTAGCAGTCTGCAACGGAAGTTGAAGTGTTATCATAGCCAGTGCTGGTGAAATAGCATCAGTCAACACGAAGCTGACAGCCACTGTTAGCAGCTTACTTGCGAAAGCCAATTCATATGGCTTCATTGTTTATTTTAGTTATCTGGCTCACACAAGTAATGCAAATAAGAGAACAAATATAAAACATCATTACCTTAGTGAGGCCCGAAATACTCTTTCAGGCAGCCACTTTCGAATGTGACGCACCCCGTTGTGAAATAGCAGTAGTCGGGGTGCACTTGATGATTCTGTCACCAGTGTGCACTGAGAATTGAAATGTCACAGCCATCGTTGGTTAAATAGCAGCAGTCAACATGGAACTGACAGCCACTGTTAGAAGCGAGGGCGGCCATGTTAGGCATGTTCTCCGTCGGCTGGGTCCACGGCTAGAGTGTAGTCCGGCGCACGACGTCACCCGAAGTGCCCGTTTATTGGCTGAGGCTCGTACACATCCGCCTTTGAGGAAAAAATACCGCTGCCTTCCTAAGTTGTACCCGACTATACACGCTTTTTTTCCAAATAATGTTTCGCGCATTTACGTAGCTCTGTGGGCACAAGCCTGATTTTGATTTGATTTTTATTAAACTCAATAAAATCACCCAAGTATCTTAACCACACGCCGACATTTTTAAAGGCAGCTTCTAATAAGGCTCTTAAGGCTTTCGTCTTAGTAAATCAAACGTTATTCACAGTACAATGGCTCACATCTCCTACTTGCTACAATGACATACAGCTGAGTGGACAGAAACTCACTCCTTCTGTGTTATGATCTTGTTACATTATGTTTGTAGAGTTTTACGCTTAATAAATTTCACCTGCCGCGGTGGTCTTGTGACTAAGGTACTCGGCTGCTGACCCGCAGGTCGCGGGATCGAATCCCGGCTGCGGTGGCTGCATTTCCAATGGAGGCGAAAATGTTGTAGACCCGTGTGCTCAGATTTGGGCGTACGTTAAAGAACCCCCCCCCCCCAGGTGATCGAAATTTCCGGAGCCCTCCACTACGGCGTCTCTCATAATCATATGGTGGTTTTGGAACGTTAAACCACACCATCAATAAATCAATTAATAAACTTTATCAACAACGTCATTCTTGTTCTAGATTGCGTAACGCAGATTTTGATACACCCATTCTTCGCCTATTGCTTAGAGTTATTCAGATTATGTGATATAATGTGCTAGCTGTAGCGCCATTCACGTGGACATGGCGTAGAGCCACCAGGACTCGAACACAAAAAAGAAGGGAGACTCAAAAACGTAACATTAAGCGGCTCTCGTAGCAACAACCAAAAGAACAGTGGTCCTAAATGACGGACATTGCAAGCACACTTTTTCTTTTCTCGTTGCTACATGATGGGAGCTTTTTTATTGTGGCTTTCTCTTTTCTTGCTAGAAGCTTCCCGGTGCCATATTATTGCTTGTCAAGGCACGAAGTGAAGAGCTCACGGATCTTAAGCACGTCTTCATTCTGTAAAAGTGATGAAGAGGATAGGCATCTTTTAGTACAATGGAACACTTGGTTTGTGTCTCACAGTTGTTTTCCTGTGCCTAATTGTTTCAAGAAAGGTGCAATAAAATCAACAAGTAAAAATGTTCATATTTTTTCATCTTGTCTGGCCAGAAGATTCAGTGGGAAACGAGTTGAAGCCCTTGACAAAATAACAGTTGCACGTTTTTTTTTAATACTGTGTGTTTTCATGACACTTTTTTATGGTTCATAATGAAAGATCAAATACAATATTAAAAGGGGAATGGATGGAGAGAAAATTGTTGTGATCATTGCAAAACAAATTGTCGCAATGGTGCATGTGTGCAACTATTTATAACGTTGTAGGAATTGGAAAATTCCATTGCCAGAAACTTAGACATAAAAAAGGTAAAATGTCTCTCCTATGCTGGCTGAACAGTCATGCTTGCTGCCAGTATCAAACCTGACGACATAGCGTCCTCTCATAGTTTTTTGTAGGGAACTTTAATAACCATCTCAACTATTCGCAGTGCTGCCAGCTGATTTCAAGTACAACGACTTTAATGGCCGAATTAGTTCCAAAACCATTTGAAAGCCGCATTGCTGTGGCTTGAGAGCGGCAAGCCGAATGGGCTTTTCGTGAGCTGTGTCTTACATGAGGTAAAACAGCCGCACAAGATACACGGACCTCAATGCTATTGATGATACCATGATGAAATTAGCTGGAAAGAACAAGTATTAGCATTCAAACTATCAAATCTAAATTTTCTAAATTATGCGCGTATACTTAGCCCCAGTATGTGCCACTAGCGCGTTGACAGAATTAAGTATTAATATAACAGTTATTCCCTTCACTTGAGCTAATGTGACAAGAGATCTGCCAGTCTACAGTCCTCAGCAGAACATGGAAGCTTCCATCTCAATTCACATTTACGAACAGTGAATTGGAAAGACGCATGCACTACCACCGCACTCCTGGCATCTTCAGGTGATGGGTAAAGACTACGTTGGAGTGACTCGTACTAAGGGTTCCGGACCCTACGATATACAAAACAGTGCAGAATCATCCGTGCTAACAAAGGCTTTCTCACGTTTTAGAATTCTTCGTATTACGGGGCATCGGCGATTTGTGATATCGGTCCCATTATTATCAGACACTACTGCAACTTTGCATGATAATAAGCTACCTCGTTTGACGCCTTCAAAAATAACTTAATAATCTTAGTTTACGGCAGTTTATACCGTAAGTCCCTTATAAATAAAATTTAGATGAAAAAAGAACTCACCAGGAAAATTCCTTGCCCCACCTTCACCTGGAAGTTATTAAAAAGAAGAAAGATTGGCTGTATTGTGGCATCAGGGCCCACAGATTAGTACACTCAAGTGAAGGCCATTTGTACAAAAACATCTCTTTCACAGCACCCTGTCCACCCTTTGTACTAGAATTTATATAAAAATACATTAGTACGGCCTCTTGGGAGAGCTAACGTCGCATACATGAAGGGTAGCATTTCGGACACGTGGACAAACTGGCACGAGGCAAACGTTCTGTTTGTGGCGTGCCAAATAAGAGTTGGTCTGCGTGCTTCTCATTGTGAGCGTCTTCAAAGCGCACCCCTTCCAGGGTACAAATACTCTTTAAAAAGAGTTCTTAAAGGATTGTCCAGAGGTAACCGATGTCTTTGCACTGAAACGTCTCCATGATTGACCAAACCAAGAGGTTATGAATTTCGTCTTCGTCGAAATCTGACCGCCTTTGACGGGGAATCGAGCACGGTAAATTGCGAACACGCAAACTCAGCTTCAGGATGCTAACGCAGGTGGGCTTTCCCTGTGTGGTGGGATTTTTTACGTCTCCGCGCATTCACAATTACTAAAGGAACGTCCAACTCGAGGCCCAGCCCAAAGGTTGTGAATTTCTGATTGTGTACAAGGCTGCAAAAGCTCTTGAAAAAGCTGTCATCCCACAGTTCGCTACATTTTGCTTTACAATATTTAAATTGGAACTTAACGAGCCCCATCGAAAGCTTCTGCGAATATTTCACTTTTTCTATCAAGAAAGATCTGTTTTATTATTCTAATAATAATAATAATAATAATAATAATAATAATAATAATAATAATAATAATAATAATAATAATAATAATAATATATTATTATTATTATTATTATTATTATTATTATTATTATTATTATTATTATTATTATTATTATTATTATTATTATTATTATTATTATTATTATTATTATTATTATTATTATTATTATTATTATTATTATTATTATTATTATTATTATTATTATTCCATTTTTTTTACCCTGCTAAAGGCTTATGGTATCATATTGGCCCATGTACTGACTACAATATTTAACAAGTGTCTAAACTCTCGCACATTTCCTGGCTTGTAGAAAACTGCGCAGGTTTTTTTTTTAGTTTATAAGCCAGGCTGCAAAAATTATCGCTCGACTTCACTACTGTGTGCCACATCAAACATCTTCGAGCACTGACTCTTAAAAACATATTTATGTTAGCGTTACTATATATTTGATTCCAAATCAACATGGCTTTCTCCCTGACTGTTCAACTACAACAAATATTGCTAGTTTCATGACACAAATCTCTTCTTTTATTTCTCAAAGAGGACCGGTTGATGTTCTCTTCTGTTTCCTGAGCAAGGCTTTTGATGTGTCACCCACTCGCTGTTCACGTTTAAACTTGCAAACTTTGATGTTTAATCGTCTGTTGTGGATCTCCTCCACAGCTATCTGCATAATATACCATGTTAAATTGTTGTTAATGGCCAAACGTCTTCCTTGTACAAAGTGACTAAAGTGGAGTCCCTCATGGGTCTCCACATTACGTGTCTCTGTCAGTATATTAAGGTAAGAATAGTATTTGCCCGAGGGCGTATGCTTGATAATTATTGCGGTGAAGAATATTATATGTACCAAGTACATCTCGAGAAACATTAACAGAACTTACAAGAGAGCCTTGGAATTCGGTACAGGCTTTCTTGATTCCACATTTCATGTCTTCGCCGCAATGCAACGCCTTCATCACGGCCGTGAGCTTAGTCATAACCTGTTAAAGCAGCAACAACAATGGCAATTCCAATAATAACAGCAACAGTGTTTAGTAAACCTGAGTAGAACAAAGATATGTTAGACGAATTCTACCCAACCCCAGGTGGTCGAACTTTCCTGATCCCCCCACTACGGCGTCTCTCAATATCGTAAGGTGCTTTCGGGACGTTAAACCTCACATATCAATCAATCAATTGAATTCTACCTGGGTGGCTGTCTGCCTCACTGCTTAAAACTGAGACGTTCGAACATGATGATAGCTCGCGCATGACACTCACAGTATGATGGGTGACCTATAACGATGACAGAACGGCGATTTCGCAATGATGATGACTGCAAGACAGTGTGCGAATGGTGGAGGCTGAAACAAAATCGAGTGCACCACGGCTGTTGTTGAAACTGAGCTACATTAAAAAGCCTGAAACTGATGAAAATACGGAAGGTAATGCTTTTTTTTTTTCGAATGACTTGTTTCTTTGTAAGGCACAACCAAACCAATCCAACTGACAAGTAAGTAGAGGAGAGCCGGGGGACAATATTCACTGTGTTTTACCTGTGACGTAATGATTATGACATATATTGGAAGTCCTTAAAGTGGTCAATAAAATATGACGAACGCAAACGCAAGATTGAGAAAGAAATGTCATAACTCAATTGAGCTTGCATTTTTAAGTAACACTATATTGCCGCTTTTGGCGTTGAAAGAGAGATGCTGCCCGTAGTTTGCACAGTAAGCAATCAAAGATGACTTCTTTTCAACGTTACTAATGGCTGCCGTCCGAATCACCTCTTTGAGCCATACAGCCATGTTCAGGTGCAACGACACTCTTCGTTCGCGCTGCTTAGCGTGATCGATTCATTCAGACAACATACGTCGAGTGGTCGAGGGGGTCAATGCTAGGAGGATCACAAGCGAACTGCTTTACGTCGACAGAATCAGTGCGCATAATCTAGAGCTTTCCTAATTACTTTTAAACTAGCAGCCGGTCAAAAATGTCAGCTCATGGCGAGAAAGCAGCGCTAGATGTACGTACCTCGGTTTCACTTTTTTCTTTAACACAGGTTATCAGAAAATCATGATCTTTGTCGTCCAGCTCTGAAAGTTGACGGAAAAACGAAAGAAAAAGACCGTTAGTTTAACTAGGCACATAAGCAAACAATGAGCTATTTTTCATTGGAAACTTTTGTGACGTAATTCCTTGCGAGCTACCCCACAGGAAAAAGAAAAGCAGACTATGTTTAAATTTCTTCCTTTTTGTCTTCTTTAGCTTGTAACTGGTGGTGTGGCGTCAGTAAGTGACTAAAAAAACTGACACCAGTACACATACTATCTATAAAGTGTTGCTTTTTTTTTCTTGGAGAGATTGAGGGTAGTAGCCAAGATCGCAAATGGTATCAGGGACTTCCGTCTCACGCCGTGGATCCTTGATTGCTTATCGAATGTTGTGGGGATGTTCTCTTCTGTCCTAACATTCCCGGGTTAGAACGGAAGCGCTTATGCAGCGAGGGTGATTTAGCGACGATTTATTTAATGCCGGATGATTTAGCTACGAAATATATGTTGCAGCAATTTGTCTCTTTTTAGTCCTTCTTCGATGCACTTGTCACTACGTACCAATGACAGGAGTCTGGCACACTTTTGCTATCCCCGTTTTTTGTTATTTTCATCTACCATCTCTGAATGCGTAGTTATCATTTTAGGACTACTAGAGAAACAACAGAAAAGCCTGATAAAACCACTGCAACACTAGCCCCGTGGCATAATTAAAAATTCTGCATTGTTCCAGCACACATCTTGGATACAGATGACCAGGACCTATGCTTCGTAAATAGTTGCGTAACAAAGAGTTTAATCCTCGGCCCCAAAGCGTAGGAGCACTGAAGTACTGTTTTGTAATTTTGTGCTGCAGCTGACAGATGGTAGAACGCAGGGAGTGAACAAGAGAGTGTAGGAGCATGTTGCCATTACGGCTTTAAGTCCCAGTACTGATATTCTTTAGTATTGTAATGTGCACTACAATAAAGTGAGAAAAGCTGAAATACTCACCGCAGATTCTGGGTAATTTGTTGGTTTGGGCCCAGTCGACGCAGAGGAAAGCGACGAGCAGGAGGCACAAGTACGTCTTCATGGCGATTTGTTCCCCCAGGATGCGGCAGCCTATGTCTGAGCCGATTGCTGTACGGCGCGTTTATAAGACCTACAGAGTCGGCGCCTATTACATGCCAAGCGGTCCTTTCCGGTCTTAATAATAAATAAATGAAAAAAAAAACAGCTGCGAAACACTATACACCCCAACTACGGAGCTGTAGAGGCTCTTCCTCCAGACATTATGCTATAGTTTGCTCGAAGATTCACCAAAGAGCACGTGCGGTTGCCTTGTCTCTAACCGATCGTATTTCTTCGGAGTGCACGCCAGCTCATTGTCAGCCGTATGTCTATCTTTCTAGAAAGGGAAGGATGCCCAAGCGTCATCTATTTTTTCCTGAGGAGCACAAGCCTCCTATTTTGCTTGATTGCATGGTGAATACCAGAAGATGACGACGACTGCAACACAATACTTCCGCCAATAATACAAATGGGATCAAATGGCAATAAAATAAAAATAAAAAGAATATAACAGCAATCAGAAGACAAATTTAAAACATCTCAAACTATTCATAATCTAGTTCCAGGCAGTACCGATTGTCGCCAGTAAGCAGTGCCGAAGGACGCAGACATGGAGGCTTTTTTTTCATACGAATGAAATAGCATGAGCGAATCTCCAAGCCCTGTGTCACAGCTAGATTTTCCTTATAATGAACGATTTTGTTCTATATTTATGTTCTGTACACGTGGCCCTGTGAGATCGAGTATATTGCTGGTCATTCTGGAGATGGCTTTAGCATTATAATCTTATATTTATTGGTTGACCTAATAACGTACAATAGTTGAAGTGAGTTAGATGCCACCTTAGGATCACTGTAGCTAATCTGTCACAGCTAGAGGTGTTAGTGCGTGTCGATGAAGTATTCTTATATGGTCGATGGTGGGCCCATAGCATATCCTTGTGGGGCTGACGAAAGCTTGGCGCGCAGGCAATGCGTCGGAAGAAAGTAAATGTTACCGACATGAGTTCTGAATGCTTTTGAAAAGCCTTGAAAATGCAGTAAAACCTGATGTGACGGCACGACTAGGTCATGACAGCGTTGATAACAGTATGGCGACCATGGCGTGGTGTTTACTCATCCGATTACAACTTCTGCAACTCCTTCTCAGCAGCCCCAAGTTGTCCCAAATCCAGCAAAGGTGTGAAGATAAGGAGACGAATGAAGTGCTAATGTTTGATGAACGATTTACCAATTGTATAATTAGAAGTTTTATGCCAGTATTTAGTATGCCTCACTCAGATAGCGCAGGCTGGTAAGCCTAAAATATGTGACAGATAGACTGCTCTACATCTTTCTTACTCAGGTAGAGCCAAGGGAAGATTCAGGTAAAAAATGTCCTAGAAGCAGTGCCTGTAGCAAATTTGGCATCAACTGCTTCAAGAAGACGTGTTATTTCCAACTGTAGGAGATCATATGCGTGTGTATGTTTTTATTTAAACAGTAATCCTATTTTCCTAGATCAAATAATTTGAAAAATAAGAGTGGTAAAAAAAACATTAGAGTGCGGGTACAAGGCCGAAGCCATGAATGCGATAGCAATATTATAATCAAATGCTTTCACGTCCGATATCCGTTCGTGCCAAACAATATTACTACAATATTACACGTTCTATTGTGAAGCCTGTATTACGGTCGCATGTGTTTGTAAAGCGAGAACTATACTTAGTGCATTTTCAAGCAGAGGCAGTTATTTTCACTATGCTTTCGAGCAGAAACGTGGCTGAGTGGCGGAACACCTGCTTGCCACGCAAACGGCCTGGGTTTGATCTTTCCTCGGACCCGTATATTTTCATTTTTATTCATTTTCATTGTGCTTGAAGTTTTGTTGCGTACAAGATGACGGTGTTTCACTCACAACTAACGATAGTGACAGCGAAACCGAGGCCTTTACAGACGCTAACGTAGCAATCTCTTTGACCCGAGCTCTTTAACACTATCGCGTTAAAAACGCTTGCTGTTTAAATGAAAACTTTAAGGGACCCGCGCTAAACTGGAGAGGGACTATCTGTACAAGCATTTAGGATTTAGTTTCAAGGTGTGTTTGGTTCATCAGCTGTATGGTTGCATATTGTATGTCACATTTGCGTCGTGACATAAAGAATTTCGCAGGTTATCAATTTTCACAGAGGCGATTCGTTGCTGAATTTTTTTTGTTTGCTTGCCTAAATACCATGTATGCCAATAATTACTACAGGATAATAAGAACAAGCATGAAGTAATTGAGATGCGAAGTTGAAACAAAAAAGCTACTTTGTGGAGAGGGTAATAGTTTGGAGTAGCTACCCTGATCAAATGACACATTTCTAAGAAGTATTGCATGTACCTGGAATGAAAAAGGCAGGTCATCTATACTCCATGTCACGAGTAACTTGCACTGCTGCCAAGGTGTAAGCAAGGGAGATCTTTGCGCATCAAAAAGTTGCCTCACATATGCCATCTGAACCCTGCCTATTTTGAAGGTTCAGACATTTCTAACAGAGATGCTGCTACACTTTTTGGGCGTGTTGAAGAGTTTTGCATGACGAAGCAGAAATTAGGTATAGCGTAAACAGCTTCAATTTAAAGATATCTAATTGAACACGTGAAAGTTTGGGATGTTGATAACTTTTATATACGACAGAACACAACTTCCCTATAATCCCCAATGAATATAGGACGCCACACACAGTGTCCGAACACAACTCAAAGTTGCTAGTACGAACTCTCGGGACGACAAGCAGAAGGGTGCTACACACAAAAGCGCTAACTTCCAACTCGTTGAATATTGTGGAAACACGTGAAATATAAAGGTGACCACAAGCTTGCGCTGCTTCACATTCACAGATCCACAACACCCCAGAGTGATAAGATTCAGCTCTCAAAATACACAACAGTTACGCACGAAAAATAAAAATAAATGTTATAACTAAATCACGTTGCACTATCAGGTGGTATGCCTACAGAACACAAATATTTCCTTGATATAGGAGTGGAAAGCACGCTGATACAATCGATATTATGCCAGCTCTGCGGCTTCCACTAATTTTCACGTTTTTTTTTTTTTGTCGGCATGAGCGAGAAGCACTGCGCAATTTCAAAATTTCGGCGTGGAACCGCTGCTTCGGTGATTTTTTTCATTTCTGGCTAATATTTGCTAATAGATTTTTTTTATTTTTGGCATGTTATAACTGTCGTTGTTTATCTTAAAAGCCTAATCTTATCATTTCGAGGTGTCGTAGAATGGGGCATGAGAAGCTGTGAAGGCGCGCGGTTACCTATATTTTGTTTCATTCCATTATGAAAATTCGGTTGAAAGCTCACGCTTGTGTTTGTCGCATTTTCTTGTCTGTCGTCCCTGAAGTTTGCGCTATAGCCGTTCAATGGGGGAGCAACAAACCTAAACAAGAACATTGCTATGTGAAGCCTCGAGTACGCCTAAGAAAGCAATGGGCGAATTCTTACTTATGTGCGCTAGCAAACGCCATAAAATAATAATAAGCAAAGTGTTGACAAGAACCTACGTGAGGAGTGTAGTGCAGAAGCCGAGTTTTCTCTGGTTTTGTAGAAAAACGGCTACAATTATACTTTCTACGTGAGATCGGGAACGCTCCACAGGCCACGGGATCAAATCTATAGGCTGCCGCTCAGATTTCGGTGCATAACCCTGGTGGTCGAAAAAACCAGAGCCATTCACTACGGTGCCTATTATAATCATACGGTGGCCTTGGGACGTCAAATTTCACATATCAGCGTCATTATCAGAGATGGAGAACGCTGACGCCCCCCCAATGGGACTGATTACCGGTGGTTGCGTGTGATTGGACCGTAGTGGATGTCGGAAGATCGTGATTCAAAGTAACAGAATGAAGATTTCTTGATTTGAATAACATTCGCATTCTTAAATTGGATTTGAAAGCCACAAAAACCCCTAAATCACGCGGCCTTCAAACTGCGTGAAGCCGTATTTAGGATCGATGTAGTACTTTGCATCAATGCAATGTAATTTCGGCCGAAAATGGCCATCTCTAAATCATTAGGCTTTCCTTATTATCTCTGAAATTGGTATGTGGCAAAAGAAGTTCACGCTGAGAAGTGGTTCTGCTTTTAGGGCGACGGAAGGAACTAGAAATCGATGCAATTCCTCGGCTGCGACGTGCAGTGAGCTGCGGAGCATGCGCAGCGTCTGAAACTCGCCAACACAAAAAAACTTCACTATAGGCTTGATCAGCGCAACGTTACTTTCTTGTAGATGCTTGTTTGCCGGTGCGATCAATGTCACACTCACCTACCGCTGTTTGCCAACACTTGTGTGCCCAGTATCAGTGCCGTTGTACATTGAAAAACTCGTTTAAAAATTCTTCACTTGGTTTGCCGGAATACATAGCGTACTTAGACCCTATGATTGGTAAGCGCTCTGTTGCATTAAGCACAATCGTGCCATGAAAATTTTTTCTCAGTTTAAAGTTCTAGGATATATTCAAGTAAACTACCCCGTATGTGGTCTATATTACTATACACAATGGTTTACTGAAAACCAACTTGCCGACAAAACCCTTATTCCTGAGGTTCATGTTGAACCTCAAGTTGCCACAAAGAACCAGTGCTCTTTAGAGTCACTTGAAAATTTAATGGCACGGCCGTTTATTTGCTGGACATTTTGAAGTTCCAAACTTGCGATATGATCATGAGAGATGCCGTATACACTGTAAAAAAATGACTCCGAGATGAGAGGAAAATGCTTGTCCTCTAGCGTGCCCCCATACTTGGAGTAATTTTTGCTCCGGACCTCTGGAGCAAATTGTTTACTCTGACTGACTGGAGCGATTGCGTGGCACATCCGGAGCACTTTTAACTGATATTTAACTCCGGCGAGTCACAGAAATTGTGTGGCGCCATCGGAGAATTTTTTACCGGCCTTGTGCTCCGGCTTGCCGGAGTGATTACGAGGTACCTTAGGTGCAGTTTTCACGGGTTTTTTACTCCGGCAATTCAGAGATTCTGCGTGGCGCCTCCGGAGTATTCTACAAATGCCCTTGCTTTATCCAA